AGGATGATGCGTTGGATCCGGAGGTTGGTGGGGTGGTACGTGAGGACGAGGGGGATTCTTTTTTGGTTTTTATTGCGTGGACGGGGTGTGAGGGATGAGGTGCGGGAGATGTGGGAGACACGGTTGAGGGCGTTCTCGACCACCGAGGGGGGGAAGTTACGGTCCTTGAAAAACGAGGACAACTGAGATGTACGGGAGTGGAATGCCTCATCCTGGGAGCAGATGTGGCGGAGGCGAAGGAATTGGGAATAGGGGATAGCATTTTTGCAGGAAGGTGGGTGGGAGGAGGAGTATTCTAGGTAGCTGTGGGAGTCTCCTCCCTGGAAAACAAAAAAGAATCCCCCTCGTCCTCACGTACCACCCCACCAACCTCCGGATCCAACGCATCATCCTCCGACACTTCCGCCATCTGCAATCCAACACCACCACCAAAGACATCTTTCCCTCCCCACCCTTATCTGCTTTCCGGAGGGACAACTCTCTCCGTGACTCCCTTGTCCGCTCCACACTCCCGTCCAGCTCCACCACACCCGGCACTTTTCCCTGCAACCGCAGGAAGTGCTACACCTGCCCCCATACCTCCTGCCTCACCCCCATCCCAGGCCCCAAGAAGACTTTCCACATCAAGCAGATGTTCACCTGCACATCTGCCAATGTGGTATACTGCATCCGCTGTCCCGGTGTGGCTTCCTCTACATCGGGGAAACCAAGCGGAGGCTTGGGGACCGCTTTGCAGAACACCTACGCTCGGTTCGCAATAAACAACTGCACCTCCCAGTCGCGAACCATTTCAACTCTCCCTCCCATTCCTCAGACGACATGTCCATCCTAGGCCTCCTGCAGTGCCACAACGATGCCACCCGAAGGTTGCAGGAACAGCAACTCATATTCCGCTTGGGAACCCTGCAGCCCAATGGTATCAATGTGGATTTCACAAGTTTTAAAATCTCCCCTCCCCCTACCGCATCCCAAAACCGGTCCAACTCGTCCCTGCCTCCCTAACCTGTTCTTCCTCCCACCTATCCCCTCCTCCCACCTCAAGCCGCACCTCCATCTCCTATCGACCAACCTCATCCCGCCCCCTTGACCTGTCCGTCCTCCCTGGATTGACCTATCCCCTTCCTAACTCCCTACCTACACTCACCTTTACTGGCTCCATCCCCGCCTCTTCGACCTGTTTGTTTCCTCTCCACCTATCCTCTCCTCTATCCCTCTTCTATCCGCCTCCCACTCTCTCCCTATTTATTTCAGAACCCCCTTCCCCTCCCCCTTTTCTGATGAAGGGTCTAGGCCCGAAACGTCAGCCTCTCTGCTCCTATGATGCTGCTTGGCCTGCTGTGTTCATCCAGCCCTGCACCTTGTTGTCTCGGATTCTCCGCATCTGCAGTTCCTACTATCTCTGAAGAATTTCAACTAACTGCAAAGTTAAGAATCCCAAAAGCAACTGTTTAACTCTCAATATTTCACAATCCACATTTTATGAAATACCAGAGAAACTGATCCATATATATTTTATCTTTTCTCTTTCTTTGGATTCACTCCTTATTCCTAATCCGTGTGTGTGTGTTTTTGTGTGAGTGTTGCATTACATTTTCTTAGCATTTGTCTTAACTGATATACTCACTCTTTCAACAACACAAGAAAGCCTGGTTAATTTGGCTCCATTTAAAACATAAATTAGTTTGATATGGGAGAAAGACAGGCATAAGCGTGGGATACTTTATTGAGTAACTTAGATGTGAGTGATTAAGAAGTCAGTTCATCCTTCCTCTCTCAGGAGCATAATGATTTGGGGTTCCCATGTGGAACCATAACAACTTGGGGAACCTCACTGGCATCTTGTCATAGCAACTGTCTTTCCTCAAAGCGAATGGAAATAGCAACTGGAAACTATTACTAAACATGAATACTGAATGTATGTTAAAGCTATTCATACTACTAAGAAATACAACAGAGACTGCAATATGATCATCATTATACACAAGGTACAGTGCAAGGAAAATCACAAGACAGTGGCAAAAATGCAAGCAATTTAATGGAGGTTGTAAGTGACTACTGTCGCGAATTAGAAAATGTTGATTTGGTCAAATGATGGACATTGAAAATGGACTGAAAATAACTAATATAATATCATGCATAAAAACATTTTAAGAACATTAAACAGACATAATTTTCTGCAAGAAAAATTGGAAAATTAGAAAGGATATTATCAGAGAAGCGGACAAGAATAATTTTAAGAATAGAAGGTATTAAGAGAATAGTGAATACAGCACAAAGTAGTAAAAGAAACTTGATAAACAAAATCAACAAGCAAAATCAGCAGTTATTTTTACCCAAATAAATGCAGGTATTGTGCCTCAGGAATACAGGATACCATATTTAATCTCAAGATTCAGGAAAAAGAGGAGGGCATCAATCAGGCAATTACAGACCAGTTAGTGGCAAAATAATTGGTCATCCCTACTCTACCTAACATTACCAATATTCATCCAAACAGCAATGATGTTACTATGGTAGTCATTATATTTGTAGGTCATGTTCACAAATTTACTCGATTTAATTGAAAGGTATTAAGTGTATACAATGTGCTAAAATTTTTGGAAAACATTTGTTAAATTCCAAATCTAGAAAATTTTAAAGCATTTCTAAAGGTATATGGAAAACAACACAAATGGTATCAGTTGAATTAAGGATTGGCATGGCAACAGAGTTCATTCGACAAAAATAAATCAATGAGGTTTTTCCTGGGCCATATGACAACATTGAATAAATTTTGAATTTGTACCAAGCGCAAACCAGCACATTTTATATGTAAGGAATGCAATGGCATTTTGGTATTGTTGCTGGATGAGTAATCTACTGACCCCAGTAACGATTTGGGCACACAGCTTTGAATCCAACCATGGATTTGAATTCAACATCAATACAATTTGGAATTAGAAATCTAATGAGGAGGGAAAACACACCGACACTTCATCGGAGGCTGCACTGAGGATGTTACCAAGCACGGTAACGAAACGTCTGCAAAACAACAAACCAGCTCGGCGAGCCAACCAACCTCAACATCCACAACCCGAGCTACAGATCTACTCCAAAACCTTAGGTATTTCTTAGTAAATCATAAGATCTGCTAATGACACAATGTTGTGCAACCAGAATGTAGACAACATTAGATAGTATTCAAAGAGATTATGGATAACTTGTGTGCATAGATTAAAAATTGCCTGAAGTAATTAATAACAAAAACATACAAAATGCTAGAAATCTGAAATAAAACCAGAAAGTGCCAGAAGTGTGTAGTAGGTCAACTTCCATTTGAATGTGAAAAGACTATTAATATCTCATGATAATTCTGAGGATGCTTCTCCTCGTGAAATATTAACCTTTATCTTTTACATGCTGGCCCTGCAACATTTTCAGTTTATTTCAGAGATAATTTCATGTAAATACATTCAAGAAATTGTACATTAGCATTACAGGTTGACATGTGTAAACAATGAGAAGCTGAAATAAGGCACAATATATATTTCTAATTATTACAGATAATCTGAAATTACTTAAATGCCTGAAAACTAAAAATGTCAGACTTCAGCAATGACCACAGTTTATACTGACAACAAGAAAAGGCTGCTGAGTTTATGAATACAGTACTGACCATACCTTGTTTGTACAGAAATAGCAACTTGTTGTTGAAATTGGGTCATTGTATGATAAGTCATCGCCAACAATACTGAAAACGAATCAGAGCCTTACTGCAGTCTCATTTTATTGAAAATATGACAAGAACTGGGTAAATTACTCATTCAGTTGACTATAGGATAGTTTAATTATTAAGCACATTTCCAATGAAAAGACATCAATTTAAAATCACTAAATAATCCAAAGTAGTCTAATAATTCCAATGATAATGCATAAGAATACCAGCCAATCAAACTCGGATAAATATTGGTTTACACTAACTCCCAGAATAACCTGAGGGCAGGAATTGATTACATGTGCTGAAATAGGTAGCATTACGGCCTGATTGGTATTGGCAAATTCAGGAAACCTGATGTTGATGCCAAGAATACCTGCAGTGCCTGCTGAAATCCAACATCAGACATATTTCAGCATTGCAGTTCCACTCACTGTTGTAATTCAAGAATTTATAATTGACAACCATGGTCTATTTTGTTTATTGTTCTGGCTGAAATAGAAAGCAGATGCTGCACCCGGCCCAAAAGCCCTTTGAGTATTTTCAGAACTCCTAAGTGTTTTGCACAGTGTTGCATATGGTGGGCAGTCACTTTTCATTTCAGTTGACAACTATTCAAATCGAGGTAGCTCTGGTAACTATTTGATTAATATTGAATTAATTCTCAGCTAAAACCAAGTTAATTTGGGACATTCAAAAACATAGTTCAAGCCAATTAGTAAAGTATGAACAGGTCAGTTCTTACAAGTTATAAACAGATTTGTTTTATAATTTATAGGTCTATTTTCACAAGCCACATACATATTGATACATTTCAAAGTTGATTAAACATTATGTAAAGGCTGTTAAAAAAGGAAAAAATGTCTGAGAAACATCGATATATCCATGTACACTAATATTTAATGGTTCAGGTGGCTTAAAAAAGCATACGAATTAGTTGAACTTATAAACAGAATCATAAAAAGTAAAAGCAAAGACGGCAGTTTTTTCACGAAGGTGCTGAATGGACAATGGAATACTTCTTTTAGGCACAGAAGGAGGCCAGTCAGACTGCGCTAGCTCTTACAGCAGTCATGTTCAGTCCCAATCCCCTGCTTTTGCCCAAAACCTGTAAGCTCTTCTCCCCACCCCCACAAATCCTGCTCCATTCCCTTTGAAAAATTATTTACAGAACAAGTTTCAACCATTTCCCCACATGGAACATTTCATCTCCTGACAAATCTCTGAATGAAAACAAAATCTCCACATCTCTCCACTGGATCATTTGCCAATGGTTTTAAATTATAACTTTTGGATATTGACTTACACAGGGATTAGTTCTCTCATCATCTTGGCAATGTCTACTATGATGCCTTGTAGCCTCCTCTGCTCCAAGAAGAGCCGTACTAACTGTCCCAACTTCTTCTGTGTAAGCCTCCTTTCTTCCCTTTCTGAACGTCTTTGCATTTTTCTTACAATATGGTCCACAAAACTCTAACTGAGGCCTAACCAGTGCTATATAAAGTTGAGCATGCAGTCTTTGCTTTTATATCAATGATTCCATTTATAAGCCTAAATAATTCACATGCCTTTTTAATGATACGTAATCCACTTGTCCTGCTGCCATTAAGTACTACGATACATGGATATATCAATGTTTGTCATTCACACTTTTCAAAATTGCGTCATTTAGAATATACTGCCTTTAGTTCCCAAGTGCTTTTGCTTTACACTTCATTGTTTTGAACTCTTATGCTTCTACCTATTTTAACATTCTATGCTATTCTGAAGTCTAGATTTATCCTCATCAATATCTAAGTTGTTGCTAAGTTTTATATCTTCAGTAAAATTTATGACTCTGCTCCCTAGACAGATGTTTAAGTCACTTATAAAAACTGCAGAAATTATGGACGCAAAACGGAAGCTGGGGAGAAACCACTGCATAGTACCTCCCAGTCTGAAAAACATCAATTCACCACTGTCCCTTGCTTCCTGTCATTGAGTTCAGTTTACATTGAAGATATTAGTTGTGGCTCATTTGATATCCTTGTCTCAGATACAGATGTTTTGTGTGTTCATGTTCCTCTCCAGACTGTGAGAAGAGAACAGTTCTTGATCCATTTGCAGTCAATGAAACCTTGAAATGTGTTTGTGAACTGTTGACTGCACATGGTGTTATACAGGTCACTTGTGATTATTTCTGCTTCATAGAGATTGCTGGGATTAATCTGTAATGAACAATATCACAATGAGGATTGCTTGTGGCCAGGATTTGTAATCTATATAATCTAGCAATGGAGAATTTTATGACTGTAGGTGCCTTGAATCTGTGAATGCCTGAAAGGCCTCACATTGCACACAAGTGGAGACTGTTGCCACAGACAAAATGAAAACAAACCTACTGTCCACTCTGGGTGCGCTGGCAGCCATTTTTCATTTTGATTGCATATTTGAAAATCCAATGGAAATGGAAAAAAACATAGCTAGTGCTGCAGAGAATGATCAATGGGCTCTGCCTGTTATACCAGGTATCTCCCACAAACTTCATGCTATTTTCTGCATTGCTGTTAATCCCTTTAGTTTTAACCCTCCCTATTATGACCCAATGCTTTTATTCAACTGTTTATCTCTTCAATTTACCACCTGAGCTCCAGGCCAACCACATACTAATGTGCAATATACGATATCCCCTTTGAAACCAGGGTGGGGGTGGCTGTTGACAACACCCTCTCCTGCAATACTCCACACCTCCCATGCTCTGTTGTTTCCCCAGCTTTATACATTGAGTTAACCCTCCTTCACAATTATTGTCACTCTGCAATTCAGCAAGCTAACTCCAATTCCCACAAATGACTTCCCTTTTACCCCAGTTCAGCACTAACCCTTGATAATCTCCCAAAACCTTAAGTGCTCAGAATGCCAGGAGGATCCCAATCTCCTGTTTAGCACATTGACTGATCATTGACAGCAAACACGAATGGCTTTCTGTCTGTGCTGAAAGGCAAGGCAAGACACAACTACCGTAACCCTGTATGTTGTGAATGAAGTGTCAATGTGGGAAAAGGAGAGGCAAGGCAAGAAAGAGATGCTGTCAGTATCCAAGTAAGCCCAAAATGAGTGAGTGATAAGGAGGCAAGCTAAGAGCCCGGAGATACACTTTGTTCTGATGCATACAGTGGGTGTCTGTCCCTGCAAGCAAAGCAGCCTAACAGAAACATGCAATATGTCAGTGAACACCAAAATGGAGTATTGAAGAGCTGAACTGTGCTATAAGTGAATTTGAAATGTGCAATGATGATGTGATGAGGATGGTGCTTTGATGACGCCAACCTCTATGGACAGAGGGTGCAAGTGGTCGCTATCCATGGAGTGTGCCCTGAGGAAATGCTAACTTCGAAAAGATGCTGGCAAACTAGGCAGCCACTCATACTTAAAAGTTGGAAATTCTTGCCACCTATTTTCTCTCCACTGCCTGGGAAAATAACAACCCGGATATAAATGAGGTGAGATTAGGTAATAATGAGATTTTAATGCATGCAAATAGACTGCTCACTACTCAACAGTGTGATTTTCATTTAGCTTTTGTTAAAATCCTTAGGCAATTCTTGACATCAAGATTTTTTTCATTTTCACTGATTTTTCCCAACTGTCTCACCATTGTCCACATCATTTAGAGGTTGGGATTGTTTTTGGGGGCAGGGGGACATGTACAAGGTACCTACTGGAACAGAGCCAGCATCATTGTGGGGAGCTTTATTAGTGCTTTTGGGAAGGGTTTAAATAAGTTGGTAGGGGTTTAGATTCCAGAAAAAATGTCAGCAGGTGAAGATGAATGACCAAAATAAGAAGAGACAGCAAATGAGTCAGGAATGCATAAAAATTTTAGGCCTGTTGAGATACAAGGAAGTTTGGCCAAGGTTAGATGATGTTTATTTTAATGCTAGGAGTCTGATGAACAAGGCAGATGAGTTGAGGGTGCAAATTAAAACATGGGAGCAAGATGTCATGACAAATTGCTGGGAGTGTTCTATAGGTCCCTATAGTTCAAGAGAAACAAAACAGCAGATAGGCAGGTAAATTTCAGGGAACTGTATAAATAACAAGATAAAGATAGCAGGGTATTTCAACTTCCCCAACATTAACTGGGTATTCAAAATTGTGAAAGGTTTATGTAGGGGTGACCTGTACCTGGTTATGTAAGGTGGCTTGTACCTGAACACACTAAGCAGCCCATGCTTGCTTACAAGATGGCAGACAGAAGCTAAGCAAAACTACACGGCTTGCTCACACAGTAAAATACAATGGTACCTTTGAACAGAACTGCTAGAAGGTCAGTAAAAGAAAGCTGTATGTTCCCATCCGAGACAGCTCTGATAAAAGGATGCCTTAGGACTGATAGATGGCCAATTCCAGCTTCATTAATGAAAGAATTATTGTCCCACTAAATGAATAACGTCAGGTGCCAGATTAGGTCCTTAAGCAGCTGCAAGGATAACAGCTAAAGTTATTTTGTAGTAAATAGTTGCCTCTTTGAAGCTACAAGCAATATTAAACAGTTTCCAGCTAAAAAATACTCTAATCATAGAAGTTGGTTTCAATGCATAACCAGGATATAATACAAACCTTAAAAAAAATTAAGCTTAGATGTAAAGATTAACTAACTTTAGGAGACATCTTCTCTTATGCCCTGAACAAGGCAGATTGATCACAACCCATAAATTACGAAATACTGACAGTAGAAGGAGTTGTATATAGTTACACTTATAATTAACTTTATAATAGAAGTTAACCTTGTAGCAATTAGTTAAAACTAACTGACTTTTTATTTTTACATTATGTAATTGGGACAGTGGGAAAATAAAAGGAGTAACTGAATGTGATAAATAAAACATCAAAATACAATGGGTAATAGAATTCAAGCTGTCCTTATAGATAAACAAGCCCGAGAAAGATCCGAAGAAATATAGCTATTAAACTTTTGGAATGCAAATGAATAAGATGCACGGGAAGATCCCAAGGCCTAGAGATTACAATGTCTAGCTAATACCATAAGATCATGAGAAACTGGGCTGTCCATTGAAGTGTCCATAACTGATTAGGTGTCCCATACAGGATTGGGTGTTTGAATTAAGGGGAAGGATGATGACTACATTGTATTTGATTACCGTAATACAAAATATACAAAAATGCTGTATTTCTTTGTAAAAAGCAGAGGGTGTGTCATTGATCCACCGTCCAAAGCCTGAAGATTCTTCAGCCCTCTCCCTGCATAAACTGGTTTCTACTTGAATAAATATCTTCCACTGGCCTGAATCCTGCCTGCCTCCTGAGTCTTTGTCCTGGGTCAGGAAAAACGCTCCTACAGTTTAGAGGGAGCGGAATTTTTAAAATGCATCCAGGATAGTTTTTAAGGAAGTACGTTAAGGATGGGTCCAACATGAGAGGGGACCATCCTGGACTTAATTTTAGGTAACAAAGCTGGCAAATTATTAAAGTATCAGTGGGGGAGCATTTTGCTAATAGTGATTGTAACTCTATTAAATTCAAGATTGTTATTGAAAGGTCAAGGATGGGCCTAAGATTAATATTCTCAACTGCAGGGAGTCTGATTTTGATAAGAATAGATATGATTTGGCCAGAGTGGACTGGGAACAGATACTTTTCAGGCAAACCATCTCAGAACTGTGGGATGCATTCAAAAAGGAAACATGGAGACTACAGAGCCAATATGTTCTACTAAAGTAAAAGACCTTCAATCCTGAAAACTCTGGATATTGAGGGATATAAACCATCAAATTAAGAAGAAATGGGGATTATTGCAGAGTACAAGAGCTCAAAGCAGCAAAAGCGGAGTAGAGAATATACAAGAGGGAATTTTTAAAAGAGATTAGGAGAGCTAAAAGGGGATATGAGAGAATACTGGCAGATAAAATAAAGGAAAATCCTAAATATTTTTATAGGTACTTTAAGGGTAAAAGGATAATGAGGGAAGAGTACGGCCCATTAAGGACCACAGTGGCAATTTGACTATGGAGCAGGAGGATGTAGGTGAGGCTCCAAATTAATGAAATTAACTGAATGAAAAATGAATTATCTGATCATTATCACTTGCTGTTTCTTGGAGCTTACTGTATACAAATTAGCTGCCATGTTTCCTATATTATGCAACAAAAGTACTTCACTGGCTGTAAAACACTTTGATGTGTCCACGAGATGCACTATAGAAATGCAAATCTGTTTTTCTTTATCATTTTCTGCCTACCCCATGAGATCCCACCTTTTCTGCATCCTCCTATGTGGCACTTTGTCGAATGATTACAAAACATCCATGATATACAGCATTTATTGCTGATCATCATTAAAGAATTCAATCAAGTCAGTTGTGAACAAATCTGTGCAGTCTCTATTATGGAATTTGCAAAAAACTATGGCTATCCATATACTGTAAATGCCACAAGTAGAATCAT